GAAGCTTTATATACATTTTGGCTACTAACTTTATGATGTTGTATTTTTTTCTTATTTTAAAACTGGCTCTTGTAATGAGCTATTAAGATATTTTGCTGCTTTTAATTTTGTTAAATAGAGTAAGTTCTGCTGTTAAAAATTCAGGTGGTTGTCCTTCATGCTTTCCTGCCCGTCGGTTAAAAATTGGAACATAAGGCTTATAGTTCCTTAGACTTAAAGGAATCACCGTTAACATTTTTCTGTTAACTTCAGCAAAATTATTGGTGGGGAAGTTTTTTTTGTGACAGAGTCTCTATCGCCCAGGCTGAAGTGCAGTGGCATGCTCATGGCCACCACAGCCTTGCTGTGTTGGGCTCAGGTGATCCTTCCATCTCAGACTTCCAAGTAGCTGGAACCACAGGCATGTGCCACCATGCCTGGCTGATTTTTTGATTTACTGTAGAGATGAGGTCTCGCCATATTGTTCAGTCTGGTCTTGAACCCATGAGTTCAGGTAATCCCCTCTCCTCTGCCTCCCAAAGTGCTGGGATTACAGACAAGCGAGAGCCAGTGCCTAACTGATGGGTAATTTCTGTAAAGTTGCTGTGCAGTCTAGAAAGTTGAGATCAAGTGGTGTTGAAAGTTAATGTACAATTGACCCTTGAGCCACATGGGTGTGAACTACTGGGGTCCACTTATACAGATTTCTTTCTTTTTCTTTTTCTTTTTTTGTTTTTTGAGTTGGAGTCTCACTCTGTTGCCCAGGCTGGAGTTCAGTGGCACGCTTATGACTACCACAGCCTCGACCTGCTGGTGTTAGGCGATCCTTCCACCTCAACCTTCCAAGTGACTGGAGCTACAGGTGTGTGCTACCACTCCTGGCTAATTTTTTGATTTATTGTAGAGATGCGGTCTTGCGGTCTTGCCAAGTTGCACAGGCTGGTTTCAAACCCATGGGCTCAGGCAATCCTCTCACCTCAGGATTCTTTTCAATATATTGAAAAATACAAATATTGGAAACATATTGGCAAATTTTTTGGAAATTTGTAGGAGTTTGAAAAAACTCGCAGAAGAGCAGTAGCCTAGAAATACCAAAAGAATTTTTTAGAAAGGTATGTCATGAATGCATAAAATATATGTAGATACTAGTCTTTTATCATTTACTACCAGAAAATATACATGAATCTATAAAAGTCAAAGTGTATCAAAACGTATAGACAAACATACATACGGCTGCTATTCACAGTTGAGAAACTAAAGTAGCTGGCAACAAAGTGAAACCCCATTCCTACAATAAAATTAGCTGGGAGTGGTGGCTCATGCCTGTAATTTTAGCACTTTGGAAGGTGGATGCGGGAGGATTACTTGATAGAGACCAGCCTAAGCAATGTAGCAAGACCCCATCTCTACAGGAAAAAAAAAAAAATGGCTGGGCGTGGAAGCATGCTCCTGTATTCCCAGCTATTCAGGAGGCTGAATTGGAAGGATTCTGAACCCAGGAGGTTGAGGTTGCGGTGAGCTGTGATCTATGCCACCGCACGTTGCAGTGAGCTGTGATCTATGCCACCGCACTCCAGCGTAGGTGATAGACCTCAACTCAAAAAAAGAGAAATGTAAACAAACAAAAAGATTTAGTGTTAAATCAAAACTGCTTAAAATTAACTATAATGCATACTGTACTATAATTTTGTAGCCATCTCCTGTTACTGTTGTAGTGAGCTCAAGTGTTACCGATATCCCCTTAAAACAGAATCATCTGTACATGAGCAGTTCTCTCTTCAGTAAATTTGGTCCTGCAGTAAAAGGTGATCTCTCTGTTCTTGAGTATTTTTCATCATGTTTAGTGGCAATACTGTCAACCTTGAATAACACCATGGGACCCATGTGAAGTGTCACTAGTGATGCTGGAAGTGTTCCCAAGAAGCAGAGAAAAGCCATGGCATTGCAAGGAAAAGTGCAGTATCAATAAATATATAATACATACTGTAAATATATTTTCTTTGTTTTATTTTTCCTGTGTTTTTAAAAATCTAAAACATTAAAAAAAGTTTTTTTTTTTTGAATTGGAGTCTCTGTCCAGCCTGGGCTGGAGTGCGGTGCAATGGCATGCTCATGGCCACCACAGACTAGACCTGCTGGGCTCAGTTGATCCTTCCTCCTCAGCCTTCCAAGTAGCTGGGACCACAGGCATGTGCCACAACACCAGGCTCATTTTTTAATTTGTTGTAGAGATGAGGTCTTGCCATGTTGCCCAGGGTGGTCTCCTCTGCCTCCCAAAGTGCTGGGATTACTAGCGTGAGCCATAGCAACCACCTGATTTTATTGTGGATATGAGGTTTCACTTTGTTGCCCAGGCTGGTCTCAATACTCCTGGCCTCAAGCTATCCTCCCACCTTGGTCTCAGATTACAGCCACAAGCCACCATCTGGTCTTTCATAATTTTCTTTTTTTTGAGTTGGAGTCTCGCTCTGTTGCCTAGACTGGTGTGCAGTGGCATGCTCCTGGCCACTGCAGCCTAGACCTGCTAGCAGGGCTCTGGCGATCCTTCCGCCTCAGCCTTCCAAGTAGCTAGAACTACAGGTGCGTGCTACCATGCCTGGCAAATTTTTTATTTTTTTATCGTGGAGATGAGTTCTCGCCAAGTTGCCTGGGTGGGTCTGGAACCTGCGAGCTCTGGCAGTCCACTCACCTTGGCCTCCCAAAGTTCTGGGATTACAGGCTGAGCCACCGAGTCTGGCCATAATTTTCTTGACCTGTTATTTTCGCTAACTTTATTATAAGTATACAGTGAGTAATATATATACTATATACACAGTTCGTTGACTATTTATATCATCGGTTAGGCTCCCGTTCAACTGTAGGATATTAGTACTTAAGGTTTTGGGAATTAATTTTTACATGAATTTTCACGTATGTTGCTCCAGGATCAGGTATAGTTTTCCCAACTTTATGTCAACTTATTGAGAATCTGCGTTAAAAAAAAATCCTTGTGGGAAATAATTCTTTTTATCTCTGGGAAAATAATTAAGGAGTTATCCTTTCGGGTGACATGAAAGAGTAGAATGTGGAAATGGTTTTCTTCATCAGAGTTAATACTGATGGTAATAATAACAGCTAACATTCAGTGCTTACTTTCAGGCACTTCAATTTTAATTTTACAGATGAAAGAATTGAGGTGCAAAGAGATTAAGTTACTAGTGCAAGATCAGAGCTAATGAATGGTGTTGGAGGATTTCCCTAGTGAAAGTTACAGAAGTTTTTGGGGTTTCCTATTGTTGGCTCTCAAATACTCATTTACTATTTTAAAATAGCACCCATTTTCAAAGTTCATTTGTCTTGTTTTGTTTTGAGTTGGAGTCTCACTCTGTCACCCAGACTGGAGTGCAGTGGCTGCTCCTGGCCACCGCAGCCTCGACCTGCTGGGCTCCGGCGATCCTTCTGCCTCAGCCTCTGAGTAACCGGAATTACAGGCATGCGCTACCACGCCCGGCTGATTTTTTTTTTTTTTTGATTTATTGTAGAGATGAGGTCTCTCTACCCAGGCGGGTCTCGAACCCGCGGGCTCAGGCAATCCACTCACCTCAGCTTCCCAAAGGCGCGGGATTACAGGCTGAGCCACCGAGCCCGGCTGTTCATTTGTCATATATTACTTGTGTTGAAGATAGCTTTGTTAAAACTCTTACACTGTATTTTTCTTAGATTTTGGTGGTTCTTTTAGAGCTGGTAAATGGAAGGTCATATTTAATATCTCTGATCTTTCTAGGTCTTAATGATTTTAGTATATATTATTTTTCAGAATATTATTTGTTTTCTAACACTGGTATATGCTGTTATATTAGGAACAGCTAGAGTCCATAGTTGTAGAAACTTACAAAATCTTGGAACTGTTCAACATATGTTTTCTTCTCTCTCTCTCCCCACTTCCCCAAAAAGTAAAAAGAAAGAAGAAAAAAAAAAGTCAAGACTTTTGGCAGTATCAAAGGGTGCAGCTAGGTTGATGTGATTGATTAGTCTGGTGATGATGTGCGAAGAAGAGCAGTTAGTTCTGATGAAATCAAGTGCAAGAAGAGTGCAAAGAGGAATTTTGTGTACTGTTTTCTTTCTACAAATTCTTTATCCTGTCATGAAGGCTCCTTTTACGTTGCATTTTATATTGTGGATATGCTGTCTATTTTGGATAAGACAGGGAAGCAAAACTTTTAGTTTCTTTATATAAAGAAATATGTAAGGACAACTTAATGAAATGAAAATGGTCTTCATTTTACCTGTTTCTGAGGGATTGGGAGACCTGTGTTCCATTTCTGAAACTAGTTATAATACCTGGGTAAAGTCAAATAATCAATGATTTTACCTTTTGCTTGAGGACTTGCTGTGGGAGAGATGAAGGCTTTGTTTTGTTTTTATAGAGACAAGGTCTCTCTGTGTTAACCAGGCTGGTCTTGAACACTTGACTTCAAGTGATCCTCCTTGCCTGGCTTCACAAAGTTCTGGAATTACAGGCCACAGGCACAAGCCACTAAGCCCGGCCTCTTCAAGGATTTTTTTTTTTTTCCTGAGTCAAGTACTCTGTCACCTAGGCTGGAATGCAGTGGCACACTCATGGCTCATTGCAGCTTTGACCTCCAGGGTTCAGGCGATCCTTCTGCCTCAGCCTCCCTAGTAGCTTGGACTATAGGCGTGTGCCACCATGCCTAGCTAATTTTTTTTTTTTTAAGAGATGAGATCTTGCTATGTTGCCCAGGCTGGGATCTTTGAGGTTCTTATATCCAGTTTAAGATATGGAGTACTGGGGATAGAGATGAATTCTTCTTAGGATTCCCACCCCATATATTTATATGATTGTAATAAATTTATATACACTCTCAGTTGGTTTGAGTGGGTTTTGTTTGTTCTTATAATATTTAGTTCTTTTTCAAAGCAAGAATTGCTTAAGTAATCTTGTCCCTGGGTTGTTTTCCGAGTGATTCGGTCTTTTTCCCTGTGTTTGATCTTTTAAGTTGGACATATTTGACTTTTTCCAGGTTGAATTGACCAAAGCAATGGTGATGGAGAAGCCTAGTCCCCTGCTGGTCGGGCGGGAATTTGTGAGACAGTATTACACACTGCTGAACCAGGCTCCGGACATGCTGCATAGGTATGACGTTTTTCTCCGGCATCATCTAATGCTGCTATTTAGTATGTGAACACTTGTCATTGAGATTCTCCCATTCATCATCCTGTACCCTGTAGGGTTGTTGCATACTAGTTGCTTGCACATAAGTACCAATAAGAAATGGCTTTTAAAATTATAAGAATTTTAGGCTGGTCTCGGTGGCTCAGCCTATAATCCCAGCACTTTGGGAGGCCGAGGCGAGTAGATTGCCTAAACCCCACCCGGGCAACTTGGCGAGACCTCATCTTTACAATAAATTAAAAAAATTAGCCAGGCGTGGTAGCGCGCGCTGTAGTTCTGGCTACTTGGAAGGCTGAGATGGAAGGATCGCTGGAACCCAGCAGTTCGAGGCTCTGGTGGCTGGGAGTGTGCCACTGCATTCCTGCCTGGGAGACCCAGTGAGACTCCAACTAAAAAAAAAAAATTATAAGAATTTTTAAAAGAACATAGTACAACTATTATTAAAAAAAGTTTAGACTAGGTTGCCTGAATTTGTATGCTATCAGGAATAGCATCTGGAAATGTAAACATATACTTCTGCAATATTTACTAATATTTACTCCTTATGTGTGCGTAGATGTAAGAAAAAGAATGTATTGAAAGAAGATCCATGACCGTTCCTGTAATAACATACTTCTGTAGCCATGTGCAGTGGCTCACACCTATATTCCCAGCACTTTGGGAGGCAAAGGTGAGAGGATTGCCTAAGACCCAGAGTTCAAGATCAGCCTGCACAACATGGCGAGACCTCATCTCTACAATAAATCCAAAAAATTAGCTGAGCGTGGCAAGTGTGCCTGTAGTTCCAGCTACTTGGAAGGCTGAAGCAGAAGGATTGCCTGAGCCAAGCTGGTTGAGTCTGTGGTGGCTGTGAATGTGCCACTACACTCCAGCTTGTGTGACAGTGAGACTCAGAATGATGGACTTAAAAAAATTGGAGTTATCTTTTTAGTAGAAATGATGCATGTTTAGTGAAAATTAAAACACAGATATACAATACATTGTGGAAATATCTAGCAGTACCATGCTAACAATTTTTTTATGTATATGCAAGCTTTTTTTTTTTTTTTGAATTTTAGTCTCACTGTCACCTAGGCTGGAGTGCAGGTGGCACGCTTTTAGCCACTGTATCCTCGACCTGCTGGGCTTGGGCAATCTTTCTAAGTAGCTGGAACTATAGACTTGTGCCACCTCGCCCAGCTAGTTTTTTTGATTTATTGCAGAGATGTGGTCTCGCCAAGTTGCCCAAGGTAGTTTCGAACCCCTGGGCTCAGACAGTCCTCTCGCCTCCACCTCCCATGTGTAAACATGTGTAAACTACTGCGTCTGGCACAAACATATTTTAATATGCTGTCTTTTAGCCTTTTTTACTAGATAATCTGGGGTTGTCTTTCAGGGTAATACATGTATCCTGTTAATTTTAGTGACCACAGAGTTTTTTTATATTATACAGATATAGTATACTCCAATCCCTTCATAATGGATATATAGGTTGATTTCATTATTTTCACTTAAGAACAGTGTTATATGTTACACAACTCTGTCTTTTTATGTGGGCTTCCTAGAATAATTTCAAAGAAGGTTAAAATGTGTATTTGCTGGGTCAGAACTATTTTTTCCATTGTACTTTGACCAGGTTACTCATTGAATAACATGTGATTATCCAGTATAAAAGAAAATTTATATGTTTGTTTTCAGTACAGGCTTTGATGTTGCTCTGAAAAGGAAAAATGCCCTTTTGTGAGTTTTTTTTAAGGCTTTAAAATTTCCAAAGCATTCCCCTTTTTTTGAATTGAGGGTGTCACTCTGTCACTCAGGCTGGAGTACAGAGGCATACTCACAACTCAGTGCAGCCTCAGCCTCCTGAGCTAGGTGATCCTTCAGCCTCAGCCCCCTGGGTAGCTGGGATTATAGGCACATGCCACCATGCCTGGCTAATTTTTTGATTTTTTTTGTAGAGACGAGGTCACAGTATGTTGCCCAGGCCCATCTCGAACTCATAGGCTGAAGTGATCCTCCTGCCTCAGCTTCCCAAGGTGCTGAGCCACTTGTTCCAGGCCTCAACACACTTTTATTCAGTTCTTCTGGATCCTTATGAAAGCTTTTTAGTAGTACTTTGTAGAAGAGTTAACTTCACTCTGGAGGTAAAGAAACTCAAAGGAGTTAAAAGTTTGCTGGTATGCTGGGCATAGTAGCTCATGCTTATAATCCCAGCACTTTGGGAGGTGGAGACAAGAGGATTGCCTGGGCCCAGGGGTTCGAGATCAGCCTGGGCAACTTAGTGAGACTGCATCTCTACAATAAATCAAAACATTGACTGGACGTGGTGGCGCTCGCCTATAGTTCCAGCTGCTTGGAAGGATTGCCTGAGACCAGCAGGTCAAGGGTACAGTGGCTGTGAGAGTGCCACTGCACTCAAGCCTGGGCATCAAAATGAGACTCCAACTCAATAAAAGAAAAAAAGTTTGCTGGTACATATTTACGTGGCAAGTAGCAGAACAAGTCTTCAAACTTTTTGCCCCCTTTTTTGATCATGTTTTATATCAAAGTTTTAGTGTGTGTCCTTAGAAGTTAGAGAAATTTGAAGTTGAAGAAGGAACAGAGATTGAAAGAAACTAACCAAATACTTAAGAACAGTGTTATATGTTACACAACTCTGTCTTTTTATGTGGGCTTCCTAGAATAATTTCAAAGAAGGTTAAAATGTGTATTTGCTGGGTCACTTTCTTGTCAATATTATTATTATTATTATTTATTTATTTATTTTTGAGTTGGAGTCTGTTTGTCACCTGGCCTGGAATACAGTGGCATGCTACTTACTGCCATCGCAGCCTCGACCTGCTGAGCTTATGCGATCCTTCCGCTTCACCCTTCCAAGTAGCTGGAACTACAGGTGTGCACCACCATATCCAGCTAATTTTTTGATTTATTATAGAAACGGGGTTTTGCCATGTTGCCCAGGCTGGTCTCAAACCCGCGGGCTCAGGTAATCCTCTCGCCTCCGCCTCCCAAAGTGCTGGGATTATAGGCATGAGCCATAGCATCTGGCTCAATATTATTATTTATTAATTTTTAAGAAAGTTTTTCTTTATCATTTGAGGGGACTAATCTATCAAGTTATTTGTTGATTTTAAGACGTCTTTTTTTCACATTTCTTGTCTGAGGTGCATCTTAGGTACGGTGAAAAGTAAATTGGAACTGATGATCTGACTGACGTACATACTTTTTTCTTTTTAATTTTTTTTTTTTTTGAGTTGGAGTCTCACTCTGTCGCCCGGACTGGAATGCAGTGGCCGCTCCTGGCCACCGCAGCCTCGACCTGCTGGGCTCCAGCGGTCCTTCCGCCTCAGCCTTCTGAGTAGCTGGAACTACAGGTGCGCGCTACCACGCCTGGCTGATCTTTTGATTTATTGTAGAGATGAAGTCTCGCCTGCCCAGGCGGGTCCCGAACCCGTGGGCTCAGGCAAATCCACTCACCTCAGCCTCCCAAGGTGCGAGATTATAGGCTGAGCCACCGAGCCTGGCTAATTTTTTTTTTTTTTTTGAGTTGGAGTCTCCCTCTGTAGCCTAGACTCATGGCCACCATAGCTTTGACCTGCTGGGCTCCAGTGATCCTTCGCCTCAGCCTTCCAAGTAGCTGGAACTACAGGCACGCGCCACCACACCTGGCTAATTTTTTCATTTATTGGAGAGATGAGGTCCCGCCAAGTTGCCCAGGCTGCTCTCAAACTCGCAGACTCAGGCAGTCCTCTCACCGCTGCTTCCCAAAGTGCTGGGATTATAGGTGTGAGCCACCTCACCCAGTCTAATTGTTTTTAATATTTTTTTTTTTTTTTTTTTTTTTTGAGAAATGAGATCTCATTTTGTTGCCCAAGCTGGTCTTGAACTTCTGGCCTCAAGCAGACCTTAGTCTTCTAAAGTGCTGGGATTACAGTGTGAGCTACCATACTAGCCTGTACATATTTTTACTAGCAAAGTAGGAAGACAGACTTGTGGTTCTTGGGGGTGCACAGGGATGTAGAATAACATGTATGGGCTCATTTTTGAAAAAATGCTTATTTGGAAGACAGATATCGAGAAATTATAATTGTGATTATGCATGGGTTTGAACAGGTTGAGGTGTGTGTGTGTGTGTGGCTTTTCCGGATGGAGTATAGTTTTAATGAAAACTGAGGAATTGATACAGATGAGTGAAAACTAAGAGGAAGTTTGAAGTTCTTTTTTTTGTTTGTTTTTTTTGAGTCGGAGTCTCACTCTGTTGCCCAGGCTGGAGTACAGGGGCACACTCACAGCCACCCTAGCGTTGACCTGCTGGGCTCTGGCGATCCTTCTGCCCTAGCCTTTCAAGTAGCCAGAACTACAGGTGAATGCTACCATGCCCGGCTAATTTTTTATTTTATTTTTTATTTATTTATTTTTTATTGTAGAGACAAGTTCTCGCCAAGTTGCCTGGGCTGGTCTCGAACCTGTGGGCTCAGGCAATCCACATGCTGAGATTATAGGCTGAGCCATCACGCCTGACCAGAAGTCTGATGTTCTTAACTGCATGAGCAGAAATTGTTAAATACTCCTCAAAACCACCTGCGTGAACTGTTGGGTGTTTAATGGGAGCTACTCACATGCATTCACAGATGTAAAAGGATTCTCTCAGTCTATGAAGAATATAGCTGTCTCAGCCTAACTACCTATTATCTTCCTAAGTGTAAACAGGAACTTTTGTGTTAGGTGCCTTCCTGACATGAACTACAAAATCCTTTCCAAACACGATCACCCTTTGAAAACCTGAAACTTGTAATTTGTAAAATAAGTGTTGTTCCAGTTGACCAAATCCATCTCGCATTTAAATGTTGATGGAGTGGCGTGTAGTGGGTGGATAGATGATTGTATACAAATATGAAAAAGACAACATATTTCTGTCTTCAGGAGTCTGCCAGTGAGGCAGGATAGTACCAAGCATGAAAAATGAATACTTAGTGTACTTGAAGGTGACAAGTGAATTATCTTCCTGTTTTACAGATTTTATGGAAAGAACTCGTCTTATGTCCATGGGGGACTGGATTCAAATGGAAAGCCAGCAGATGCAGTCTATGGGCAGAAGGTGAGCATACCAAGCATTGTTTAGGCTGTTCTGCAGGTAGAAGACGACATATGGTTGAGGGAGATGCATGCTTAATAGGTAGGCTGATACTTGAAAATCAAATTCCTCAAGTTCTTAGTGGAAGTGTGTGTATTTAATTATTTGATTAATATGATATTTGTTGAAATGCTTATGTGATGTCACATTTGTTCATTTTGTTTGAGATATTCTAAAGTTTTTGTATGTTTGAAGATAATTAACTTTAGCATGGGGATCATTCGTTTCTTTTTCTTCTTTTTTTTTTTTTGAGTTGGAGTCTCACTCTGTCACCCAGACTAGAGTGCAGTGGCTGCTCCCGGCCACCATAGCCTCGACCTGCTGGGCTCCAGTGATCCTTCCGCCTCAGCCTTCCAAGTAGCTGGAACTATAGACGTGCCCTACCACGCCTGGCTAATTTTTTTTTTTTTTTGATTTATTGTCGAGATGAGGTCTTGCCAAGTTGCCCAGGTGTGTCTTGAACCCGCGGGCTCAGGCAATCCACTCACCTCAGCCTCCCAAAGCATGGCATTACAGACTCAGCCACCGAGCCCGGCTTCTTTTTTTTGGATCAGAGTCTCAGCTCTGTTGACCAGGCTGGAGTGCAGTGGTACCGTCACGGCTACCACAGCCTCCACCTGCTGGGTTTAGGCACTCCTTCTGCCTCAGCCTTTCAGGTAGCTGGAACTATAGGTGCATGTCACCATGCCTGGCTAATTTTTAAAAAATGTATTGTAGAGAAGAAATCTTGCCCAGTTGTCCAGGTCTCGAACTCCTGGGCTTAGGCAGTCCTCTCACCTCCACCTCTGAAAGTGCTGGGCTTACAGGCATGAGACACCGTGCCCGGCAGGCAGCATGGAGATCATCTTTTCTAAACTTTTTAATAGTATATTAGTTCAGGAAAGTTGTTTTAAAAACTCAAGTGTGGTCACTGGAAGTGTAGTATATAATACGTGAAGATGGGTTAAATTATAGTCTGTGTTTTGTAATGAAAGCATGCACATTCTTTTTGCCTGTGTTGTAAGTGTTTTTTTTTTAGTTTGAGGCTGTGTGATTTATTTATTTATTTATTGTGTGTGTCAGAGTCTCACTCTGCCCAGGCTGGAATGCAGTGGCACACTCAGAACCACTGCAGACTCGGCCTGCTGGGCTCAGGCAATCCTTCCATCTCTTCCTTCCAAGTAGCTGGAACTACAGGTGTGTGCCACCATGCCCAGCTAATTTTTCTTGATTTGTTGTAGAGACGTGGTCTCGCCAAGTTGCCCAGGCTGTCTCAAACCCCTGGGCTCAGCCAATCCTCTCGCCTCCACCTCCCAAAGTGCTGGGATTACAGTCGTGAGCCACTTTGCCTGACTGGTTGTATAAATTTTAAGACATTAACTCTTGCCTTAATGTTTTAGGAAATCCATAGGAAAGTTATGTCACAAAACTTCACCAACTGCCACACCAAGATTCGCCATGTTGATGCTCATGCCACTCTGAATGATGGTGTGGTGGTCCAGGTGATGGGACTTCTCTCCAATAATAACCAGGCTTTGAGGAGGTTCATGCAGACGTTTGTTCTTGCTCCTGAGGTATGTGTAGGACTGATTGTTGGTTCTGTAGTAACCTAATACATGAAAAAGAAACAATGAAAGGTTGTCCATATCATTCTTTTAAACTTTTTTTGGAAAAGTTGCAATAACAGTACATTTAGTACTATATACCCCTACCTAGAACTTCTGTCAGCACTTGCCCTGGTGTGTGTAATTCTTTCTCTATTTTCCTAACCTTTTCTTTTAAACTGTTAGAAAATAAGTTGTGAAAATCATGTCAGTCATCCTCAGATAAATCAGTGGGCATTTTCTAAGATTAAGGAATTCTTTATAACTGTAGTACAGTTATCAAATTCAGGAAGTAATGATACAATATAATTATCAATCTGTAGTCCATATTTAAATTTTGGAAACTATCTCAGTAATGTCCTTTAAAGTAGTAATAGTTTTTCTTGGTTCAAGATTTAGTCTGTAATTGCACATCTCATTTAGCTATCATGACTCTCATGTCTCCTTTAGTCTGCAATAGTTCCTTAAACTTTGGTTTTTCACGACATTGAGAGTTTTGAAGAGTACAGTTACATTATTTTGTGGAATGCCTCATAACATAAGCATCATTCAGTGCCTTACATCAGAGGGATGTGTCATTTATTCCTCTTATTATGATATTAACTTTGATTACTTAACTAAGGTGATGTTTGCCAGGTTTTGCCATTGTAAAATTAAAATTTTTTTTATTTGTAAGTAAATTATGGGAGGTTCTTTGTTTTGTTTTATTTTTGAGTTGGAGTCTCACTTTGTCGCCCAGGCTGGATTGCAGTGGCACGCTGCTCAAGGCAACTGCAGCCTCGACCTGTTGGGCTCAGGCAATCCTTCACCTCATCCTTTCAAGTAGCTGGAACTACAGGTGTGCGCTACCACGCCCAGCTAATTTTTTGATTTATTGTAGAGATGAGGTCTTGCCATATTGCCCAGGCTGGCCTCGAATACATAGGGTCAGGCAATCCTCTCACCTTGACCTCCCAAACTGCTGGGGTTACAGACGTGAGCCACTGTACCTGGCTGGGAGGGTCTTTGAGACTATGCAAATACCTTTTTCTTTATCAAAGTTACGTGTATTGACTTTAGCATTCATTGTTTACTTTTGTCAGAATCAATTGCTCTTCAAATAGTAGTGATAATGGAGATTATCTAATCCCATCATTCAATATTATTAGTTGTACTGTAAAGAACATTCATTTGTTCATTTTTTTTTTTTAATCACACATAGGTTCTTAGTTTATTTCATGGTTAAAATCCATTACTAACTATATCATGTCCAGATAGAAATGTCTCAGATCTGGTCATCATGAAACCCTTCAGGATCCCCTTCAGGTTGCCTTTTTATCTTTTTAAAATTTTTGAACACTTTGTAACTTGTGACACAAGTTGTTTCAGTCTCATCTCGCACTGCCACTGTCCCAACCCCAGTTCTGGAGTTCTCTGTTCCTTCAGGAAGACCTTGCTTTTTTTAGGTATGTTTATGAAAGGACCACAAGTTTGTGTTGAATCATTGTGTTTGTATTTTCTTCCAAATTGGTCTATACTGAACAAAGTTAGGAAGCCTGTCTGCTTAACTATATACAAGTGTTTCAATAAGAACTTGATGAATAAATGATTATTTTCTCTGCCATTAATCTCTTTTTTTTTTTTGAGTTTGATTCTCACTCTTGTTGCCCAAGCTGGAGTACAGTGGCACGCTCTTGGCCACTGCAGCCTCGACCTGCTGAGCTTAGGCGATCCTTCTACCTCAGCCTTCCAAGTAGCTGGAACTACAGATGCATTCCACTATGTCCGGCTAGTTTTTTTTTTTTTTTTTTTTTTTTTGTGATTTATTGTAGAGACAAAGTCTCAACCAGGTTGCCCAGGTTGCTTTCGAACCCCTGGGCTCGGGCAATCCTCTCGCTTTGGCCTCACAAAGTGCTGGGATTACAGGCTGAGCCACCGTGCCCGGCTGGCATTAATCTTAAAATAACTTTCTATTTAGGATAGTGATTCTAAAACCCCTGTCTTGTTAACTGTTTGAATATAAAATATCTGTCTATTTGGAAAATAACACAAAGTCTTTATAGTCATAATTTTTAGAGGAAGGCTTAGGTTACAGTATCAAGACTTGATATACTTCTAAACATGCAAAGAATCACATGGATTATGATTGCCAATTACAGGTTTTTTTTTTTTTGGAGTTGGATTCTCACTCTTATGCTCAGGCTGGAGTACAGTGGTGTGTGTACCCATGGTCACCGCAGCCTGGACCTGGTAGGCTCAGGCGATCCTTGCACCTTAGCCTTCCAAGCAGCTGGAACTACAGGCAAGCGCCACTCTGCCTGACTAGTTTTTTTTTCTTGTAGAGATGAGGTCTTGCCATGTTGCCCAGGCTAGTCTCAAATCCTTGGGCTCAGGCAGTTCTCTCGCTGCCACCTCCCAAAGTGCTGGGATTACAGGCGTGAGCCACAATGCCCGTTGCCAATTGCAGATTTAATTATAGTTTTTTTTTTTAAAGGCAGAATCTAACTCACCCTTAGTTTACATAATAGTTTTACATAAATGTTTTGTGTATTAAATGAGATAGTTTACATAATGATGTATTATACTTTCTCATTTATTACACAAAGCATTATGGTATTATTGATATTCTTTTTACAAGTGAGAAATAGCCGTAGACATTGAATAACTAGTAAATGACACAATTGGTCAGGTGTATCTTATAACTAGTGTGAACAAGCTTTTTCAGCTCCACTATTCTTGAGTGCTTGTCAGTATTCTTGGATACAGGTTTAGGTAATTTTAAATATCTGCTGAAGTTACGGCTATGATTACCTTTTAATGATTTAAGATGTGGGGCCTATGGCATTTTACATACTTAGAGCTTTGCCCATTTTTGGATATCCTTCTGGTGGTGAGGGTAAATGTTTTGAGCAAACCAAGTATATGTGAATGTAATCTTTTTACAACCGTATTGTTGTAGAGTAGTGCTTTTCTGTCTTGGCACTGTTGACATTTCGGACTGACTAATTCTTTGTTGTGGGGTCCTGTGCTATGGCATTGCAAGATGTTTAGCAGTACCTGACTCTAGTTAGTTGCCAGTAACACTCCCCATTGTGAAACTGACATGACTCCAGACATTGCCAAATTTCTCCTGGGGGCAAACCTGCTCATAGTTGAGAACCATAGGTTGAGAGTCATTTGACTTTTTAAAAGTCTGTTGAATAAATGAAAACTTTTTGTTGGCATTGCAGGGCTCTGTTGCAAATAAGTTCTATGTTCACAATGATATCTTCAGATACCAAGATGAGGTCTTTGGTGGCTTTGTCACTGAGCCTCAGGAGGGTAAGTGAAACACTGTAAGTTACTTGTATAAATTTTTTTAAAGGCATCTGAATGACCCAAGCGACTATGGATTTCTTGAATGTTTTCATTAGACTCAGTGTTCTTCCTTAGTAACTAGTAATTGTCAAAACGCTACTGTCTGAAGTTTTACTCTACTTGAGGTTAGCTTACTTCATGGAAGATATAAGACTCGTAGGTCAGAAGTAGGCAGGTTATTACAGCAACAGTATTACCATTTTTGCCACAGTTTCCACAGGATACTTTGAAGGAGGACAGGTGATATTTGTATTGCTATGAGCTGTGTTAAAGGCATAGAACACTGAGTTCAGGAAGCCCAAATCTTCTATAATGGGCAGTAAACATGCCCACCCTTTACTCTGGAGGGAGATAGTGTTTTTCCAAAACTGTTTGTTATACAGATGTTCTTTAAAGATAGTATGGAAGAAAGGAAGGTGTGGAAGATGTGCAGAAACACAGACTCATGAAAAATCTCTCCACAGTAATAAAATGTGAGTATTTTCTGAATGGCTGAGACTGTTCTAAGTGCTTTATGTTTATTGTGTAATACACAGATAATTTAGACAATACTGTCCTTTTAATAGATTAGGGCACTGAGATGCAGTAATTTATGTAATATAGCTAGGAAAGCGGTAGAGCCTGCATTAGGTTACTGCCTAGTGCAATTTGCCCAATGTCATGTGACTAGTAAGGTGATAGAGCCTGCATTAGGTTACTGGAAATACAGCTCCAAACACCATATTCTTAACCAAAACACCGCAGTAGCCTTACCTCTATTTTTAAAGTCTATGCCATGATCTTACCCAATTGCCCTGCTTTCTTATACAGAGGGTGCCAAAAAAAAGTACACATTTTAAGAAGGGAAAATGAGCAATGGGGGCACCTAAACTCTTGAAAGAGCTATAAAAAAAAGAAATGTGAGCCTCAAATTAACTCTGGATCGCTGAGCCAGAGGAATAAAACTGGCAATTGTTACAGAATAAAAAGAAAGGAAAATGAATAAAAATTGTAATACTCAATATATACTGACAACAAACAATGAATACCAGTCACGTATGACTTCTGCAGTTACAGCTGGTGCTGAGAGTAATTGTCATCAGCGCCTAGACATTTCTGATTATGACAAACATTAAGTAATACATAGGTAACATCTCTTAAAATGTGTACACCTTTTGTGGCACCCCTGGTATATGTGTTTTTTCTTACTTTGTTGACTTTTTTTTTTTCTTTTTGAGTTGGAGTCTCACTCTGTCGTCTGGACTGGAGTGCAGTGGCACGCTCCCAGTCACTGCAGCCTCAACCTGCTGGGCTCCGGCGATCCTTCTGCCTCAGCTTTCCAAGTAGCTGGAACTATAGGCGTGCGCTACCGCGCCTGGCTAGTTTTTGATTTATTGTAGACACGAGGTCTCACCAAGTTGCCCAGGCGGGTCTCGAACCGTGGGCTCAGGCATTCCACTCACCTCAGCCTCCCAAAACGCTGGGATTACAGGCTGAGCCACCGAGCCCGGCCTTGTTGACCTTTTAGTAAACATCGTAAAAGTGATTGTATTTGTGAATTCACAAACATAAATTTGTGAATTGTAAGCATAAATTACTTTAACATTTTTTTTTGTTTTTTTTTTGAGTTGGAGTCTCTGTTGCCCCGCCTAGAGTGCAGTGGCATGTTCCTGGCCACCGCAGCCTCGACCTGCTGGGTTCAGGCGAACCTTCTGCCTCAGCCTTCCAATAGCTGGAACTACAGGCATGCGCCACCATGCCCAGCTAATTTTTTGATTTATTGTAAAGATGAGGTCTTGCCAAGTTGCCCGGGCTGGTCTCGAACCCGTAAGCTCAGGCAATCCTCTCACCTCCACCTCCCAAAGTGCTGGGATCATAGGTGTGAGCCACTGTACCCGGCCTTAAAGTTCTTTTTTTCACTTAGAATCTGAGGAAGAAGTAGAGGAACCTGAAGAAAGACAACAAACACCTGAGGTGGTACCTGATGATTCTGGAACTTTCTATGATCAGACTGTTGTCAGGTAAGGAAAATTTTGTTCACATGTCCAGTGCTGCATAAGAATTTGTGTTGTCTAATCTTTCCCCTTGTTGGAAGGCGGTCACATATTCTCAGAATTATCTCAGAAAATAATAATTTCTCAGAAGAAAGTAGTTTTTGCTTTTGGTAACTTTGACTAAACAAAAGTGTGTAACTTGTTTATTAATAACAGATTGCACTATGAAGACTATTTGAATAGTATAGCAGTTGTTTTTTAAAAAAGTTTTTTTCTTGGTAAAGTGAAAAATAAATTTGAATCTGACTTCTTGTCAAGAGTTTAAATTAAAGAGACATTGCATTAAGTGCTTAGGGGGAATATAAAGTGGACAAGCACTTAATTAATTAGAGATCCGGTATAAATTGATAGAAATTAAATATGTGAGTTAAGAGAAATAAGGAATTTCAGTGACTGGGTGCAGTGGCTCACGCCTATAATACCAGCACTTTAGGAGGCTGAGGTGAGAGGATTGCCTCAGCCCATGGATTGGAGACCAGCCTGGGCAACTTGGTGAGACTTCATCTCTACAATAAATAAAAAAATTAGCCAGGCATGGTGGTGCTTGCCTGTAGTTCCAGCTACTCGAAAAACTGAATCGGAAGAATCACCTGAGCTCTGCAGGTCGAGGCTTCGGTGGTGCCATGAATGTGCCACTGCACTCCAGCCTGGGTGATAGAGTGAGATTCCAACTCAAAAAAAAAAATTTTTGTTTTATTACTTCAGGCAATAAGTGCATCAGTGTATCTTAGGTTTTTTTCTTCCTCTTGTGATTGGAACAGAATTATGTTTGATAAGAATAGAAATGGATATTTACTTATTGCCATGTGACACTCTGAATGTTAATATTCGATGCCTGAAGAATATTTTGAAGAATTCTTGAGTTATGTTGATGGACTGATCACCTTACTTGGGTTGCTGGTTGAAAATGAAGATTAAGCTGGGCTCGGTGGCTCAGCCTGTAATCCCGCGCTTTGGGAGGCTGAAGTGAGTGAATTGCCTGAGCCTGCGGGTTCGAGACCCGCCTGGGCA